TAATAGCAGGAAGGCACCTTGGCTGGGTGCAGTAGCTCATGCCTGTAATCCCAACACTTTGGGAGGCTGAGGCAGGAGGATTGCTTGATGTCAGGAGTTTAAGACTAGCCTGACTAATATAGTGAGACCCCATCTTTATTTTAAAATAATAATTTTAAAAATTGAAAGAAAAGCATCTTGTCTAGACCTTTTTTTGTACATAAGCTTCTTTTCCACTCTTATTCTTTTTTAGTGACAAAACATAAAGGTACTGAGAAAAGAGAATCCCCTTCACCAGCACCGAAGCCTAGAAAAGTAGAGTTATCTGAATCGGGTAAGTTTGTTGTTTTTTTGTGGTGTTTTGTTTGTTTTTGTTTTGCTTTTCTTAAAGCTGATTTTGATTTTTTGCACATTTGGTCATCCCCTTCTGCTTGAAGATTAAGCATAGGATAAGAGCTAAGACTCTGAAGTCAGACAGACTTGGTTGGAATCTCCTGTTCCAGAATTTAACTGGTTCTGTTTTAATTATCTGAGCCTTTCTTCTTTCAGCTCCGAAATAGGGGCAGTAGAGGTTTTTGACAGTTAACTGTATCTGCTTATAAAATGCTTGGCACCCGCCTGACCTGTAATAAATGCCTAAATACATTTTATTGTATTTGGTGAAGATAGTCTAAATCAGCATGTGAACTGGCATTTTAAACTCTTTTTTTAAAAAAAATAGTAGTTGTATTTTTGTTCCAACCAAATGAAGGTTTGAGAGACTATTTTCCTATTCAAATTGCAAATTTTCTATATGCGTAACTAAAGAAACACTTTCTAAATGCATCCATCTTTCAGAAGAAGATAAAGGTGGCAAAATGGCTGCAGCAGATTCTGTGCAGCAGAGACGCCAATACAGACGACAAAACCAGCAGTCTTCATCTGGTATGGACGGTGATGAAAGTTTTTTTCTACCTGCATTTCCTAATAAATATTTGGTATATGAACATCTATGTGTGCAGCACGAGTACTTAACTTGCCTACATAGAAATCTGTCTGAGGAGGCAGGATTGTTTTCTTTTTTTGGTTTTAAGTCCTTTTGCAAAATTTAATCTTCTGTTACATTGTTATAAAAGTAATAGGCCCCAGCTGGGCACGGTGGCTCAAGCCTGTAATCCCAGCACTTTGGGAGGCCGAGACGGGCTCATCACGAGGTCAGCAGATCAAGACCATCCTGGCTAACACGGTGAAACCCTTTCTACTAAAAAAATACAAAAAACTAGCCGGGCGAGGTGGCAGGCGCCTGTAGTCCCAGCCACTCGGGAGGCTGAGGCAGGAGAATGGCGTAAACCTGGGAGGCGGAGCTTGCAGTGAGCTGAGATC